TCCGGCGGGCCGGCCCGGCCCGGGGGGCGGCCTTTCCCGCGGCGGCGATGGGCCGGTAGCGGCCATGGAGCGGGCCGAGGGCCGGCCCGGCGCCGTGCAGTACGTGCATGTGCAGCTGCAGGGCGGCGCGCCCTGGGGCTTCACGCTGCGCGGGGGGCTGGAGCACGGCGAGCCCCTCATCGTCTCCAAGGTAGGGGCAGCCTGCAGGGGGCGCCCCCCGCCCCGCCGCCCCCTCGCGGGGCGCCCGCCGCGCTCTTTGTTCGGCGGCGGCCGCGGCGCGGGGGGCGTCGCGACGGGATCCCCCCTCGCGCGGGGGTCGGTCCCTGCGGAGGGTCGCGGGAGGGGGGCAACGGGCCGGCTCCCCACGTCGGGACGGTCCCGGGATGGGGACATCGGGCCGGCCGCTGTTGGGAATCCCTGGATGGGGACAATGGGCCGGACCCTGTCGCGGGTCCCTGGATGGGGGGGGCTGCACAACCGGCTCCCCTCTCCTGTCGGGACAGTCCCGCGATGGGGGCATCGGACCCGCCTCTGTTGGGATCCCCGGATGGCGGCATCGGAGCCAGCTCTCCAGCCGTCCAGACAGTCCCAGGATGGGGGCATCCACCCGGCCCCGGCTGGGGGCCCTCGGCGAGGGGGAGGCATCGGCACCGGCCTCCCGCTGTTCTCACTTCCTCCCTGGGATGGAGGCGCTGCCGGGGCACGGGGACTTATCCTGCTTTGGAGGCTGGGTTTGCTTGGGACCCTGGTGCCACCCTCGCCCTGTTGGCACACGGGACCAGGGGGCGGGCGATGTGGTCCGTCCATCCCGTCCTGCCCCAGCCCTGCCTGCAGCGCTGGGGATCCTGTGACGAGAGGCCAGTGCTGCCTGACCCATGTCCTGCGTGCCCAGATGTGGGTCCCGCTCCCTCCTGTGCTGGGGATCTGCAGCGACTCCCCCTCCCTGCTCTCATGCCTGGGCATCAGGGAATGGTGCTAGGCTTTGCCCGCCACCCTGGCCCCCGTGCCGGGGCTCGCGGCTGCTGCGGAGCTCGGGACGGTCCTGTGGGAGCCGCTGGGGCCGGCCCCGAGCCGAGGCTGCTGAGCCCACCAAGGACGGTTCCTGGGCACAGGGTGAGAGGCACTTGGGGTCCCCATGATGAGATTGCCCTGGCTTTGCCGGCCACCCCAGCCGGGTGCCACTGGGGTGGCGGGAGCAGCTTTGCTGCCGTGTCCCGTGCTGGGGGGCACCCAGTCTCATCCCAAGCCACAGGGCGGGCGCAGGGCAAAGCAGGGAGCGCTGGAGCGGAGGGACAGCCTGGCCCGCGAGCAGGAGGAAACTCCCACGGCACATCCGCTGGGCTGGGACGGGGAGGGGGCGGCCCGCTGGCCGGCCCCTGCGTCCCGACGTGTCTCCGGCGCGGCCGGATCCGGGTTGGGCGCGGGTGCGGTGCCGGCAGGAGGGAGGAGTGGGCCCGGATGCCTGGGCTCTTTCTCTTGCGGGTCCTTGGCTGCCTGCCCGCTCCGCGGGGCAGCAGAGGCAGCTTGCTGGGACGAAAAGCGGCTGCACCCTGGGGTGTCACTGCAGCTCCATCAGACTGGGTGCTGCGCCCGGCTGTGGGGCGCTCAGTGCCTGCCTAGCGCTTGGAGTGTAGGGTGCCTCGGAGGCAGCCYGGCCCCTTGGGGCAGGGGTCCTGGGGGTGTGGGGGGGCTGGGCGCTCGCCCTCCCCCCGCAGCGGGGCGGCTCTGGCGGAGGCCGGGGGGGCGCCGGGCCGGGGGTGCCGCGGCCGCCGCGTGGGCGCCGCAGACAAAGGGGGCTTGTTGGAGCGCTCGGTGCGGCCAGGGAGGCCCCCGCGGCGCCCGCGGCCCCCGGCCCCGCACGCTGCTGCTGCTGCTGGGGAGGGGGCAGCGCCTGCCCGGGCCCCGCGCCGGAAAGAGCGGGGGTGCGTGGGGGGCCCCGTCCTGCCCCGGCTTCCCGACTTTGACTGCTCCGAGCGGAGCCCTGCGGTGGGGCAGGAGTGGGGCCCCTGGGCAGGGCACGGTGCAGGGAGGGGGTCTGCAGAGCAGACATGGTTTGGGCACCAGCATAGCAGTGTCCCCTGCCTAAGCAAATCCCCCCGAGCAGGCACGTAGCCGTATGGTCCCGCCGCTGCCTGCCCGGCCTCACTGCTGTTGCCCGCAGTGCCCGTGGGCAGCGTGGCAGGGCTGCTGCCGCCCCGCTCCCATCCTGACCTCGGCCCTGCCCTTGGCGGTGCCGGGAGGTGCCAGGCAAGGACGGGCAGCGCAGGAGCCGAGCGGCTTCCAGCCCCACTGCCGCTCCCCCTGTGCCTTGGCCGGGTCCCCTGCGGCTTGGCCGGCTGCCCACGGGACTCCTGTGGAACGGGGTCCTGCAGTGCCACCATTAGTGCCCAGGGTGAACACGGAGGGACAGCATCTGGGAGATGCCCCCAAGCAGGGCTGGCCGGGCGAGCCCGGCAGGCTGCGAGGCTCGGCTGCCAGCGCTGAGTTCATCGGCGGCGGAGGCAGAACAAGGGGCTGTTTGTGCCAGATTTAGCTCCTGGCCGGAGATGCCAGCTCTGCGCCCTGCCCGCCTGCCGAGGCGCACGCAGCGCCCTGGTGTAGCTCCGGCCCTGGCAGCGCCCGGCACCCAACGGCTCGGCCCCTGTGCCGCCCAGGCGGACGGGGCGGGCGCTTGCCCGTGCCAGACACAGGCTGGATCCTGGGCATGGAAACAGGGGGTGAAGCTGTGGTCTGCGCTGCCTGGTCYTGGTGCCCGGGGCTGTCAGATGCAGCCACTGCAGGAGGCCGGTGGGTCAGCGAGGTGGCAGCAGGGAACGGGCAGCGTCCGGGCTACCGCCCTGCGCCTCCCGCCCGGGTGCCCTGCGATGCTCCTGCAGATACCAGCGGGTGTCCCGTCCCCACCATCCTGCTGCGTCCCCAAGCTGGGAACAGTGCCGCGGGGCACGTGCAGGGTGGCCGGGCTGCTCGGCAGCCGCAGCCGCCCCGGGCACAAGGGCCTGGCAGCCGCCCAGGCGCGGGCTGCGGCGGCGGGGCCGCGGGTGCTGYGGGCAGAGCTCGTTCCTCCACGGGGCCGCATGCGCTGGGACGGACCGGGGGAACCACATGTGTGAGGAAKGCGGGAGAGCTGGCGCGGGGCGCTGCCCGCTCTGCATGTCACCCTGGCGGTGCCTTTCGGCTGCAGCCAGGGCCGGGTGCCGCGCAGGGCATGGAGAGGGGCCTGTGGGCACTGCCTCCCGTGAGTGCTCATCCCAGCGGCTGCTGCAGCGGGCAGGTCCCGGAGGGAGATGGGCAGGGGGGCCAGGTGCTGTGACCATTGGTCATTGGAGTGACCATTGGAGTGACCAGTGCCTGGGGTCAGAGCAGGGCCCAAATGCCCCGGGATGAGGCTGGGGTGGGTGACAGGGACACTGCGACGCTGGGTTTGCCCGGTCCGGCCTTTTGCCTTACCCACCRGCCCGGTGGAGCAGGCAGAAGGCCTGGCACCGCGTCCTGGGTAGCCCGTGCCCGGCAAGGAGCTGAGCGTGGCCTGACCCCGGTCTCCTCTGCTTCGGGGGATGAGGCAGCACCCTGGGCATCCCTGCTCTGTGCCAGGGGCACGAGGGAATTGGAGCAAGCRCCGACTGCTCTGCTGCCCCGTGCCTGCTGCTGGCGCCGGGAAGCGCTTGGGCTCCTGCTGCTGGAATTGGCAGCGTCTGGAGGCTGCGGCTTGCCCCGCTCCATGCTGCCCGCTGCCTCACTGGCTCTGCCTTGCCGCCCTGCAGCCTGGCAGCGAGGTGTGCGGTGCCAGGCGTTGGGCACAGCGATTCCTGGCACCTCCTGAGCAGTGGGCTTGGCAGAAAAGCGCCTGCCAAGCCCCGTTAACAGGTGGCACATCCTCCGTCCTGCTGCCCATCCACCCCAGGCGGCCACTGTGCCGGGGTTGCCACTGCTGCACCTCTGCTGTGCCTCTGTCCACGTGCAAACAGCAGCATCGCAGGACTGGAAGAGCCCAGGCCCCCAATACAAATACCCGTGTGCCCGGGCTGTGCCGCCGGGGCGGGCGGCGGTGGCGAGCGGGGGCCCGGCGTGCCGGCCRCGGGCTGGCATCGGCGCCGCACAAAGGGCCCTTGTGCTGCCCGCGCTTGCGGGGGAATCTGCTGGGAAGGGACATTTTTCTCCTTCCCCCGATGCCCTTTATTTGCTCAGAAATTCATGTGACCGGGCAGGCGGGGGGAGCCGGGCCGGCCGCGCGGCGCGGCGGAGCCGCCGGGCTCTTTACGGCAGAGCCCCGGAGAGAGGGGTGCCACTTTGTGCATCCCTGCGCCGCGGGAGAGGGGTGAGACTCGGGCACAGGCAGATGTGGTGGGAGGGCAGTTTCCGAACGTGGGTGTCCGGGATGCCCCCCGCTGCCCGTGTGTGTCCCGCAGGTGGAGGATGGCGGGAAGGCGGCCCTGTCCCGCAAGCTGCAGCCGGGCGACGAGCTGGTGAACATCAGCGGGACGCCGCTGTACGGCTCGCGCCAGGAGGCCCTCATCCTCATCAAGGGCTCCTACCGCACCCTCAAGATGATCGTGCGCAGGTCAGCAGTGCTGTGGGCGGCTGCCGGGGGGACGTGGTGCCCACGGTGCATGGGCAACTGGCACGGGAGGCTGGCAGGGAGCGGGGCTCCACACTGGTGTTGGGGAGCGCTGTGCCCAGCGGCTGTTTGCAGCTGGGTGCCATTGCACCCAGCGGGGACACAGGGAGGCCACAGCACCCCGTGCACACTGGCACCCGGCCGCCCGTGCCCTGGGCTCGGGCAGGACGTGGGCGCAGAGCCCACAGCCCCGGGCTGCGCGTGGAGGCCGAGCCGCCGCTGCCGTCGCTGTCGCGGCGCCTGGGCGTTAGCTCCGGCCTCGCTCGCTCCTCTCCCTTCCTGCCGCCTCCCGGCGCCCGCCCCTGCGCCGGCCGCGCGGGGAAGGAAGGGGAGGCCGGGCCGCCCCCCCCGCCGCCTCCCAGCTGCCCGGATTCACTCCCGCGGCCGCCGCGGAGCCGATCGGCGGCTCCCACGGCCGCGCGGCCGCTCGCCGGCGTGGGGAGGCTGCCGCTATTGAGGGCAGCGGAGGGGGCCGCGAGGCTGTGCGCCTGGGGGCTCGCGGGATTCGGCCTCATCCATGGTGAGTTTTGGGGCCCCAGAGCAGGGAGGGACCCCCGCATTGCCAGGGCTCCCTGCCCCACCGAGCTGTGCCCTTGTGCCTGGGACAGGCGCTCGCTCGGTTCTTCTCCTGCCCCTCAGGACGTGGCATCTGCTCCCTGGCCTCCTCCGTGCCTGCTGTGGGACCTGCTGGGTCCGCTGCGGGACCCTGGYGGGGTGGCGTTTGCCTGCGTGTTCGGGCGGTGCTGCCGGCCGCGGCAGCCTGGGCGCGGGGAGGGACGCGGGGATCCCGGGCGCCCGCAGCCGCCTCCCTGCCCCGCTTGCTGCAGCTGCTGCGGCCTCCCCGGGTGGAGCCGCTGGGCAGGAGGAGCTCTGTGGATGGGCCTCCTTGTCCCCTTGTCCCCATGTGTACCAACAGCACCCCCAAGTCTGCCTGCTGGGTGATTAGGGACTAGGTGGAACTTGAGGTGGGCACCGGAGATGTCCCCAGTGCCTTTGGAGGGCACTGCCCTCCCTCTTCTCTTGCGGCCGAGGTGTGGCCTGGGGGAAGGCAGGGGCACCAGGAGCTGGGAGAGGGGGACRGGAAGCCCTGCAAGGCGCCGGGCACTTGGTGCCATGCTGGGCACCAGTCCTGCAGTGTGGCAGCGCTGCCCGCTTGCYGTGTGGTACCCGCACTTGGTGCAGACATGGAGCTGGGCAAATCCCGGGGCTCCAGCAGCCGAGGCTCCGGGGTGCTCAAGCTTGCTCAGGTCCACAGGAGAAACAAGTGGAGGTGGTGGCCACCAGGGCTCCTTGTATGGCGCACCGTGCCCCGTGGCCATCTGCCCGCTGGGTCATTGCCCAGGCGGGTTGTGTCCCAGGGGCTGGTTCGGGGCTATGTTTAGCTTGGTCCCTTGTTGAAGCTGGCACGGAGGACGCTTTAGGAAGAGGCTCGGGCCTCCCCTTCCCACGGTTCCCAAGGCACTGGGCAGTGCTGGGCCGTGCCCTCGCCGGGATGATGCCGAGGTGGCTGGGCACGGGCAGGGAGCGGGGCAGCCGCTGGAGCTATGGGTGCTCCCACCTTACCCTAGCCAGGCGCGCTTGCAGCCAGACCCTCCTCTTCCTCGCCGTCCCCCCTCGGGGGCTGCTGGCCTGGGGGGGACAGGAAGCCCTGTAGGAAGTGACTTCAGCCCCAGTTCCTCGGCCCGGCTTCCTCCCCATTCTTGTCCTCTCCCGTTGTTGCTCTTGGCAGGAGGAACGTGCCCGTTCTCCGGCCTCATTCCTGGCACATGGCCAAGCTCTCCGAGCTCCATCCCGACGCCACTGCCATGCACTGCCCTGCCGACACCTTCAGCCTCTCCTGGCCCTCGGGATGTGATGTCAGGTGAGGCCGGCAGGGGCTGCGGGATGCGGGAAGGGGGAGGACAAGGGGTCTTGAGCCGTTGCAGGGCAGTGGAGTGGGGAACCCGGGGCTCTCAGCCTCCCTCTCGCAACCCCAGAGCCTCTATGGCCCAGACACACAGGAGCGGTGGGGCCCAGGGTGGCATGTGGGACCCTCTGCACCCTGTACCATGGTATTGGCTCCTGGGCTCGCCATTCCCCATGGGAATGGGGGGGCGGTCCTGGAGCCAGGGAGAAGCAGATGAATCCCAGTGCTCGCCCTGTCCAGAGCCGGKCAGCCCATGGGCCAGGGCGGGCTGGCGGACAGAGCCACGCGTGTCCCTGGTGTCCTGTGCATGCCATGGTGGCAGCAGTGCCCGCCCGTCCCGTCAAGGGGGTCGGGGTCTCGTGGCTGGTGGGGCAGCGGCCGGGGCGCGTGGGCAGCGCTAACCCGGCGCCCCGCGGCCRGCAGCGAGCTGTCGCTGCAGTGGAACCCGCTGTCCCGGCACTGCAGCACGGACAAGAGCAGCTCCATTGGGAGCATGGAGAGCCTGGACCAGCCCAGCCAGGCCTACTACGAAGGGAACCCCTCGCCTGTTGACCAGGGCCTGTACCACAACAAGCGCGACTCGGCCTACAGCTCCTTCTCCGCCAGCTCCAACACGTCCGACTGCGCCCTCTCCCTCCGTCCCGAGGAGACCTCCTCCACCGACTCCATCCTCCAGGGCCTGGCCCCCTGCAAGCCCCCGGACGGGCGCTACCTGCAGACGGGCGCCGAGGGCGCCGAGTCGCCGGGCCGC